AAATATACAATAATTCAAAACAATTCATGCTCAACAAAAGATAAAATTCAGAGGTACAAATGCAGTTATTAAAAAAATAAACTTACTGTCATTCAAAAATAATGACCAAAGTGCATTGGTTGAACTTTCTCCTCACACGAAAGTCAATATCTTTGTGCTCTCGGCAGCAGTAGCGCCACGTTGCACCAAATAGCGATGGTTGCAACTTTTCTTTTGAATTGAAGAAAATAGGATCTATTATAGACATTTGCATACGAGAGCACAAAGATTTCTTGGATTTATGCTTGATAAAGAACAAAAAAACACTGCTATTATTCTCATTTTTTTGTGAGTAAATGCAAGAGAGATCCATTGAGGAGAAAAAGAGAGAGAGAGGGGAATATAGTTTGTTATGTAATTTTATTCTTATTCAATAAAATGCTTTTTTTTATAAATATAGAAGTTTGGATATGAAATAGGTAAAAAAATAAGTTTTGAGTGTTATGCATGTATGCATATGTGTGCAAACTTATGTATAGTATGTGTATATATGTATAAGTATAATTTATGTAAATATAAGTATTTGTATGTCTAAATACAAGTACATTTATGAGTGTGTGAGTATGAATGTATATACTTAGGATTTAAGTATAACTCCTATGGATCTACCTCTCGTAAAATGGAACATATGTGTGGTGGGTTGATTCATGTCTATTTTGTAAACTAAAGTAATATGTTGTTTATGTATGTATATGTAAAAGAAAAGGGAAAAGAAAGGAAAACATGTGATGTGTGTTATTGCATGAGTGTGCGCTTTACATATGTGAGAATGTGAATATATGTAAGTACTAATGATTTAATGGTGCCTTTTACCTTCTTGCAAGTTGGATGAATTCACTTTTGTGCAAGTTAGGATATATGGTTAGGACGTTCCATTAGATATGAATTTAAGTCACCATTATGTGTGATGAAAGAATTTATAGGAGGAAGGATTAAGCTTCTTAGGCAAAGTAAGAGAGAGTTTGATAATCATAAAAATGTTAAAAAAATTATTTTATATATAAGTAAATTAAATGTGCTCTAAAATGTTAAAAAGAATATTTTATATATAAGTAAATTAAATGTGCTCTAAAATGGCAGTTTCTAAAGTATAAAGTAACTCATAAATTAATATTTTTCTACCTTAATAAAATGTGTTCTAAAATTTTAATTTTGATATTTAGAAATTCTCGAGCTCAAAGGATATCTCTCTAAAGAGACCTTTAATGATTTTTAAGAGTTCAAATCTCTTATGTTTAAAAGATCTTTTTAAAAGTTTAAAATGCTTTTCAAAAGTTCAAAGCATGTAAGTTTAAAAAAACTTTTCATAAAATTAAAATTAAAGATCATTTTCAAATAAATTATTCTTATGCTCCTTTCAAAATTGAGACTAAAAATCTTTTCAAAAATGTGAAACCATTTACAAAGTTTAAAACTCGTTTAAAATCAAAATTGAACAATTTTTTTGAATTAGAAATTAAAAAAACATTTTGAAAATTCAAAGATTTAAATTCCTTTTAATACTTGACTTTTCCAAAGAACCTTTTCAAGGCTTTTAACCTTTTTAAATGACCCTTTTCAAATAAGAATCAAATCAACTTAAGAAGGATATTATTTTCTACAAAACTTATTAAAACCTCTTTTGATCTCAGGATAAAATAACTTATAAGTTTTGTCAAACTCTCTCAATTGCTTAACCAAGACAAGACTTATATATTCCATAGCGTGACTTTCTACTCCAATGAACATGTTTCTTTTCAAAAAACTGTGATTTTGTAACATTGGCTTATGATTACATAGCTATTGGGTCATTCAAACTTTATATAATTCATATATAAGTAAACATGTATTACTCACACTTTTTATATGAAAAAGTTACTTATACAAAAAATCCTCTTTACCTTAAAAATAAAATATTTTTAGTGAGAATATAACCAATCCTTAAAAATGAAAAATATAGAATTAGAATGTTTAAGTTAAATTATCCTGAATATAAGTCTTAACTACACGTACCAAAATCTTAAGAATGAGGAACAAGAACACTTGGGATAGAAAATTGAAGTCAAAACCTTAGAAGAAATATGATTTTCTGACGCCAACCGATATCCCAGGAATACTGAAACTTCTAACTTTAGAAGAATTTTGATTTGTCACATTAACTAATAAACATAGGATAAAAAAAAACACTTGTTTAGAAATTAACTCTTGAAAATAATTAAAATCGATCAACTCTAATTTTTCACAGCCACCACATAGAATAACTCTAAACTGTGAATTCTATTAGCCAACATAAAGGAAAACATAGGTTCACACAAATCCTAGAATAGTACAGTCTAGAATCCTAAGTTAGTTTATTGAGTGCCCAATAAATTAAATTAAAGACTATGACCTATAAAACAAATGACCTACCTACTTAGACATAAGGGTATCCTAAAATGAAGTAAGTCATAGTTGTTGATGAAGGTACCCGAAACCATTTAATAATAGAATGATATAGCACAATTCATTATTATGAAGAAAAATGAGACATGTTATTTTGTTGTTAATAATCTAAGGATATTAATGCATCCATAATAATGGAAAGTCATTGACATCTTGACCAGGGGCATTATTCCCAAAATTTAAATTAGTTCACCTATAGCCTTATTTTTAGATTTATTTTAGGATTCAATTCAAATCCAATTCAATGTCAACCTAAGTCAAGCTCATATGCTTTAATCTAGTCCAATCTTGACCTATTTCAACCTAATTCAGCTCAATTCCACTCAAATCCAAACCAATCCTTATTCAAATTTAAATCACTTCATTAACAATTCAAATCAATCAGAATCCGCTTTAAACTCAATTTAGCTCAATTTCGAATCAGCTCCAAATTTGTACCTTCAACCTTTTTCAAATCCAAGCACCAATATTACCATATTGACTTTCAATTGCTGAGGTCAAACCCTTTGGTTGATGAAATTTTAAAACTTAACCCATGTTTTAGTAAAACTTTAATTAAAATTAATCAACATTAACCTTAAATAAGATCATAATAAAAAAATTATAAATTTTAATTAATTTAAGACTTAATGAACTTTAATAAATCAAACTTAAAAATATTTAATAAATTTTGATAAACTTTAACAAAATTTAACAAACCTTAATAAACTTAAATGGACTTAAATAAGCTTTAAAGCCCTTTAAAAAACTTTTAAAATTTTTGAACCAATTTTAGATTATGCAAGTCTTAAGTAGCTTTATTAACCAATATTAAAATTGAATTTAACAAATTTTAAAGAATCTTAATTAATTTCAAAAAGTAATAAAAATCCCTAAACCTTAAAAAAAACTTTAATAATTTTCAAATTAGTTTTAAAATTAACTTAATAAGAATCTAATAACTTTAAAATATTAAATTAGAAAAGTTTTAAAAATTTCAATAAATCAGTTTTAAAATTTAAATGCCATCTTTTTCAAATTTTAATAAGCAAATTAAACAAAAATAAAACTTCAATATTAAATTTAAAAAAAAAAAACTTTAAAAATAAAATTAACTTAACAAACTCAAGTTACTCAGCTTAAGTGAAGTCAATCTTCATCCAAACCTATTCTTTTATGTGAGTTTGCAAGTCTACTTAGACACAAGTCTACCTTAAGCTCTAACCTGGTTGTCTTAGAAGTGAACCTTTAGGCTCTGGGCTTCTAAATGTTCTTTTGCAGTGTGCAAGGACTATACCAAATAGCTGCACATATCTTCTAGGTTTACTAAGCAAAAGGATTGACTTACCTAATCCTATTCGGGGACTGAGGTCAATGAACCAAGAATGAGGAAGATTTATTAGGTTGTGTGTTTGTTTGTTGTTCTGGTGCCTAAACTAAAACCGAGAAAGGTTCTTGGCAAGGATTTTGCTATTCTATACCTGAAAATGATTGTGTGTGTGTGTGTGTGTGTGTGTGTGTGTGTGTGTGTATTATATTTATATCTTAGTTTTTCCCACGGGGAAGGTGGTAATGGGGTTTACATCAGGGCATCATCTCAATAGTGAAAAATTGATGCTAGTCTGTTCTTCTAGTCCGCGCTACACAAGCATGGCGATTCTAACTCAATAGTGTGCAATGACTATATTAGGACCCATCCAATATTTATTTAGCCAAGTCTGTTCTTCTAGTCCGCGCTACACAAGCATGGCGATTCTAACTCAATAGTGTGCAATGACTATATTAGGACCCATCCAATATTTATTTAGCCAATGTGTCAATTCTTGCTGAAGCTAGCGTATCAACAAAAACTGACAAACTCGAGAAAGAAAAGAATATGTGTTTGGTGTTTGATAAGCTAAACCGAGTAATAGAAAAGTCAAGGAACTCACTTTAACTCAAATTTACTACTTCGAAGCATTGAACTATATCAAGAGCAGCAGCTATGACTAGATTAATGAATGTGATCTCATGGTGATGGTCTCTCGTGGGGCATGCTCCAACTTCTGATGGACCCTCAACTAGCTACGTGGAAGGAAATGGGCAAGGCCAAACTAGATATAACTGTCTCATTCCCAATTGTTTCAATGGTCAATCTTAAATTTGCAAGTCTAAAAGTGCATAATTGATCAGACCCCAAAAATTCATCAAACCTGCGACTTTACAAGTTAGCCCACTCTAACTTCAATTACTGCATTCTAACACATAATTGGGCAACTACAGACTCTAGGGGGCGATTATGTAGATGTAACCTATCATAGGTCTTCCACTATGCTTGGCATACGGGGTTCGGGCGGTGAAATTTTATTGAGAAGATTTTTGGCGGAGCCTACCAAAGGAGTAAAATCTATGTTCAAATGCTCCAGAAAGGAGGACCTGCATTGATGGCTTTTCGTTGAGAGCGGGGAGGTGGTTACTTATTCGTGGAAAAAGCTTCAGCTGAAGACGGAGAAGGAAACATTAAAAAAAAAAAAAAAATTTGAAGAGGAGCCACTTCTACAAAGAAATTGTGGAGGTAAGTGTAATTGTTTCTAATGATGCCTTGCATAAGAGGAGCGACTTCTACTCAGGAACAACTCTCTATTCCTTTTCCTCAATGTTCTGCGCGTCGCCGCATCCATCTGTTGCATACTTTGTTTCTGTCGAAATTAGTTTGGCTAATTGTTTGTCGAATTCACAGTGGGTTTCAAGATTCCTTAGTTACCTTTATCGATCTGGCTTTTTGTCGTCAATCCAATTATTCTTTTTCTTGTGTGTTTGCTTGGATTCTGCAGGATTCTTCACTCCTTTTAATTTCAATTTTGAGTGGATTAGCAGATTTGAGTGGGTGTACCTGCGCTGGATCGCACTGATGCTTTCTTGCTAGTTGTTGTAATTTATTTTATCTACCATTTGTTCGATTTTTCTTCGGCCCCAATTGTATTGCGTTTACCTGATTGAGGCACCGCTGGATATAGATTCATTCGGCTTCTATTTCATTAGTTCTTGGTTATTGAGTTGTTTGTTTACTTTGCCTTTCCAGAATAAAATTAAACTAGGGGAGGTTAGTTGGGGCTTATGTGAAGTTTGCTTGCATTGATGTATACTGTAATCCAATTAAATTGTTGGATAGTATCATGAAGGAATTTGTTCCTATTATAAATTTCTCAAGTTAATGTTCCAGTTCACGAATTTAACAACCGGAAAAGGATCAATCAAAAATCACACAGGAAATAGGTAAAAAATTCCCCAGTCACTTCAGTTTGTAAAAAAAGGATCAGACGTTTCTTTAGGTTTTGCCCAAGTGCTCCTGGATTTTAATCGTTGTAATAATGAGACATCATTAGTTAAACAAAGTTCGTATGTGTGAGCGTGTGTGCATACTTGCCTGCATGTGTATGTCGGTCTGTGTGTCTGTCTGTGTCAGTGTCTGTCTAGCACGTGCATGTGTGCGAGTGCAGGTGTGTGTGCCCATGCTTGCGCGCCTGCCCTCCTACATCTTCGTTTTGAGGAAGTTGTAGTGTGGTAGGTTTTTAGTTTTAGTTGATGGGAAGAATTTGGGGGCTTAGGGTTTACCCGTATTTTGGAGGGTTTGGTTGTGAGGAAACAAAGGTATAACACACACACACATACACAAAGTATGGAAACATAAAAATGAGATGGAGTTAATAGTAATGCATAAGGTTTTTTTTTTCTTAAAAAAAATTAATGGTCGGAGGCTATTAGACGAGCCCCGACCATCCCTAGATGTGTTAAATATTCGAGTATTGCACCCTACACACGGGGTATTCAAACCTGTAACCTGAGGGAACGGACGACCTTTAGAGAGACTGCTCTACCAACAGGCCACGGAACACTCACAACTGTAATGCATTAAGCTATAATAATAATAATATCTTATATGGAATATAAAAATTATTTTACTGTAGAAAATTAAAACTGACTACAATAGATTTAATGAATAAACATCGAAACTTAAGGTTTAAGATTTTTCATTAAATAAATAAATAAATTTTATAAAGCTCATATGTTAATATTTTTATATTTATTCTATATTTGATCCAATTAAAAGAGTAGATATTTTAGATTCGACTTATGCTAAGAAAGGAATAGGTAAATCAAGGAAGACTTAGGCTTATTGTATAAAAATAGGATCTTAATTTGTTGGAATGAAATGAAAATATGACACTAAATAGGGCGCAACTGATAAAAATGATTCATGTAGCCGACCCCACGTAGTGGGATTAAGGCTTTGTTGTTGTTGTATTCTATATATAAAAAGCTTATTGTAATGAACTACAGAGTTTCTTAAAAATAGTTTGGTTAATTTCTGTGATGTGCAAAAAAATTGTCTATGATTAGAAGCAAATTTTTAGTTTACTCTTTTTGTCTTTTTTAAATAGTACTCTCTGGTATACACTGATTACTCTACGTGCAACTTTTAGGCTTACTGCAAGTATAAAATTCCATTGGTAGCCATATAGGTTTGATTTTGTAGAATAAAATTTTTATCTTTAAACTTTGTAGCATAACCATATTTTAACTTATTCTTTTTCCTAGCTGTGATTTGAATCCAATTAATCTATCTGTTTTCATGCCTATTTGATTATTCTTTTATAGCCTCCTTTTCAATAAACCTAAAACTTTTCATTTTGTCTTTATATGACTGATTATTAACTTCAGCAATTCCTAATGAGTGAAGCAAAATACTTTTTTTTAATATTTATTTTTTTTAATTTTACCATGCATAATAACCTAACTCTTCATGATCTGATGTGTGAGATTATGGATGAGTGATCAATCACTATGGGTCTTGTTAACGGTCTTAAGTAATAGTCATTATACATTAATAGTTTGACATTACATGTTGAAGTGAACCCACGTAGGCTGTTTGATTTCTTTGGTTGCATCATCAAAGTAATCTACCTGACAAATATGTCAACATTACTTTCCTGTGTTGACAATTAATTTAGGATCATTTCTTGAATGTTTTGCCCTGAAATAGTTATTGAGTGGCAAGAAAATACCATGCCAATAATTTCCTTCGAAAAGTATGCAAGTACTAGGGTATTTCTTTTTGCAGGGATCCTGAAGATATTGGAATGTGTGATCTATCATTATGGTTCTGAAAGAGATTAGCAAAGATTCACGGAGATGGGCTCTGGGCATTGTGTATATAGTTGCAGTTGCATCAATATGGATTGCTGCTAGTTATATTGTTCAGACCGTTGTAGATGAGGGGGTTTCTCCTTTCTTATTAACATACATTTGTAACTCTTTGTTCGTGGTTTACATTCCCATTGTGGGAATTGCCCGATATATTGAGGGTTCAGTTTGCAATCTATTAGCCCGAAAACACAATGAACCATCCATGCAAGCATCTTGCTATTCAGAGAATGCAAATCTTTTGCTAGAACCTATCATCATAGGTAGTCATCACAGCGAGGCTATTGTGTCTGGAACTGACGCAAGGATTCAAGATATAGAAAGAATTTTAACTGACCAAGCTTGTGAGTTTTCTTCTGGAAACCCAATTAGTAGTGCATGCAAGCAATTGGATTCGCAAAGGCGTTGGACACATGCTCAAGTAGCAAAAGTCAGCCTGTTGATTTGTCCATTTTGGTTTTTTGCACAACTCACCTTTAATCTCTCTCTCAAGTATACCACTGTTACTGTAAGCATTTCAAGTTGTTTCCTATCTAGTATCATTATCACATTCACTTTTTTTTTCAAGGAAAATTTACATACATAGCATACAATTCTTGTGTATTTACATATCTCCCACCTAAACTTTCATATTTTTGGTGCTTTAAACCATGCATGAAAGGTGTATTTCACTTTTAAAATGTGATAATAATGCTACTTTTGATACGATATTAAAGATATGAGTGGTATGTGTATAAGTACTAAGTTTTTTGTGTGAGATATGTAAATACATATGACTTGTGAGCTATGTATGTAAATGCTCCTTCTTTTATTGTGCAGTCAAACACTATCTTAAGCAGCACATCAAGCCTCTTCACCTATTTGGTATCTGTTGCATTCTTGGGAGAAATATTTACATGGTTAAAGTTTTTCAGTGTTCTTCTCTGCATGGGAGGGACCGTTATAGTGAGCTTAGCTGATTTGAGAGTTGGAGTAAATGCTATTGCATATAATGCCTTTCTTGGAGATGCACTTGCACTTGTTTCTGCTGGCCTTTATGCTGTTTACATTACTCTCATTCGGAAAAAGCTACCCGACGAAGAAAAGGGAGAAGGTCATGCAAGTATGGCCCAGTTTCTTGGATATCTCGGTTTATTTAATCTCTTTATATTTCTTCCTCTGGCACTTTTTCTAAATTTCACCAAGATTGAGCCATTTCATAAGCTGACATGGAGACATTTAGGCCTCATTGTTGGAAAAGGTATGCATCACTCCCAATTTTTTCTTGTATTTGTTAGTTATCCATTTTGAGACTAGCATAGCTCATTATCATTATTATTATTTTTTTCATATATTTTGTTCGTGAAATTGTTTTTTTTTTCTTTTATTTTACTTCTATGTTAAAACTCAATCAGTAAGGGCTTGATGGGATTTGAATATGTAGGCTTCTTTAAGCGGGCAGCACTTATATGTTATAACATATGTGCATTACTTTTGTGGCAAGTTCTGTGAAAGCAGAAAGTTTCAGACGACTTAGTTATGCAGGTGAACCTACGGAGAATGATTTGATGAACACAAACTAAATAGGAACGAAATCAAACAAAAAGAAGGCACCACAATTACTTTGTTATGTCATATAGCTATATCGACAAAGAAGAAATTTCTATTTAAAACTCAATCAATAATTTTTTTTTCATTTTTTGTTTGGTTTTTATTTTTGATTAAGATCATGCCTCCTAATATTTTTTAACTAGATTAATTTCTCATAAACTCGTTCATCTCTCCTTTACATATTTTAGGTCTCCTTTGAACCATTTTTAGTACCTAGTTTATTATAGTTCCTGATTCTATTTAACTGATTTTGAGTCATATTCCCATTTATATCTGACATTCATAAGTTTATAAATATACAAATAAAGGGCTAATAAATTAACTTACCTCAATTACTATGTTGTTTTCATTCATTTTGATGACTTTTTTCTTCTGACTCTATAGATATACACAAAATACGATATCTTTCTGCTTTTATTCGTTTGATCTCTGATTGAAGTTTTGGATTCACTCGGTAATGCATCCTTGATTTAGTGGGCAAATTTATCATGAAATAAAATCTGGGCTTACTTGTACATAGATTGCACTCTTCCCAACAACAAGCTTTTTACTCTCTAAAACATGAACTTTACTCTCTAGAACATGGCAAATGGAAATTGATTACAGTGGCAATCTGTTCCCTCATTACTGATGTGATCTTGAAATATTTTTTCATACAGGTTTGTTGGACAATGTTCTCAGTGATTATTTGTGGGCAAAGGCCATTTTATTGACTACAACTACAGTAGCAACAGCTGGTCTGACGATTCAGGTCCCAATAGCTGCTATTGTGGATTCGATCACCGGCCATGCCCCTCACCTGTTGGATTTAGTTGGAGCTGCTGCCGTCATACTTGGTTTTGCTGGGATCAACATCCCCTGTCAAGAAATGACGCCATTCACAAGTAATGAACGTGAAACTGAGGACATCTTTGTGTCTGATCATATTGAAGGAACAACTGTTCGCACTGGATCAGCTGCTTTTTCCTAGTTGAATGTCAGTGAATGTCAAATTATGGTATTAGTTATATATATATATATTATATCTAATTTTTCACTTACCTAATTTGGGAAAGAAAAAGTTTATCTTAATATAGGGTACATGTTTTATCCAGAGACAAGTCCTTATAGTTAATAACATCTTAGTAGAGGCAATCTCTTAAGAATATTTTTCGATTAAAAGAGTAGCTCAAGTCCCTGTGAGTTTCAACTGTTGGTTTTTTAGATTGTTATTTTGGATTTCAATAGGAAAAATTAAAACTAAAACTATTATATTTTCATGTCCAAGGAGGAGGGGTTGTTAGTAGTACTCCAATTATTTTATATTGGGTTTCATATCTTTAAAGTTGAGGTTTATTTTTATTCGAGTTGTATATGTTACTAGAATGTTGGGAATATATTACTAGAATGTTAGGACTTATATTCTAATGATATAAGATTATGAAAAAGTCTAAGAACTGAAGACTTGTAATTTGACAAAATAAATTCTCTCGGAATCTAATTTAATGTGAGAAATATTATCTTAGAAGGTTCTCGAACTTATTATAACAGTTTCTATTAAATTTATAACATTTACTTCTACTTGGGTCTAAAACAATTTCAATACTGTTGGCCTTAGAAATCTAAATTCAAAACTATTGGACTTCTAGTTACTTAGAAAGAATACAAGTTAAATTCACCTAATTGTCTGAAAATCATAAAATTTGGTTTGAGAAAACACAAGATAGGTAAGGCTATTATTTATTAGAAGAGATTAGTAGGATTTATAACTCAAGAGTTAGAATCAAGTTGTTTGATTATAAATTGTTTTATAATGCCTCTAGTTAATGCATTATCTTATAATTTGTAAATTCGTATTTAATAAATTCATTTTGTAGGCTATATGCATGTAATCATTGTGCATGTGTTTAATTTTAGAGTCTGAAGGCTAACCAAAATTTTTGGCAAACTTTCCTATGAAGGGAGGCTATCTTCATTAGTGAGACGTCTCTTTATATGTAATGGGTGAAGTGGGAAAGAAAGAATCATAATGCCAATGTGAATGGTTTAAAGATTTCTAGAAATTTTAATGAATTTTATTAATTATTTTTTAAGCCTTTGATTGATTTTGTTGTAAGTATTGATTTAATTTTTTTAAAATTGTCAAGTTGGAGTAAGAAATATAATCGTAAGAGCCTACCATAAAATAATATCTAAGCAATGCACAATCAAGTAAAGAAATATTGAAAATAATCTGTTTGTGAAGTGTGCAATCAAAATCAGTTACACAAACATACCAATTAAATAAGCAAAATAACCCCAAAAGTAATAAACCAAAGGCAGAAGCGGTTGGGTATCGTAATAAACCCAAAAGGAAAAATATAGTTGAGTTCTTCCCTTAAATAACTTTGCCTTGACCCACAAGATTGCATCCATGTTCTTTCTAGTTTAGTTTAGTTCATTTGGTTCATTAGATTCTTTGCTTTGGTTCAAATTTTGGGTCATCTTTCAACACCCAAAGGCCTCAACAAAAGACTCACCTAAGTTTTATATGCAGACTTGATTGCAGAAAAGTAAATCTATGCTTACTATAATACATAGGTTTATTATAACAACTACAAAACAAAGTTTTTATATGCAAATGTGGTTGGGTATCGTAAAAAACCCGAAAAGGAAAAATATAGTTGAGTTTTTCCCTTAAATAACTTGGCCTAGACCCACAAGATTGCATCCATGTTCTTTCTAGATCAATTTAGTTCATTTGGTTCATTAGCTTCTTTGCTTTGTTTCAAATTTTGGATCATCTTTCAACATCTGAAGGCCTCAACAAAAGACTCACCTAAGGTTCATGTGCAAACTTAATAGTAGGAAAGTAAATTTATGCTTACTATAATACATAGGTTTATTATAACTACAAAACATAGTCAACACATGAACTATATATTAATATGCAAACAATATATATATATATATAAACATCATAGAATATTCTAAAAGCATCACAAACTAAACAACAAAACAAATAATCATAATATAGAATCTAAAGTCGGTGACCTAACAAGTAAGTTTAATGTTATGTATTTAATGTAAGTTTAAACAACAAAACAAATAATCAAAACTAACAACTAGGTTGTATTTTAAGTTTGAACTAGATTTCAGTATTTTAATTTCAATTAGACATAGGGTTTAATGTTATGTTCTGATGGTTTGAATTCAAATAATTAAAATTTGACAAAATTTAAATTAATTTGTTTCTGTTTTTTGTATCAATTTGTTTTAAGGATTTTATGAATGGTTATAGACTTACAAGTTAACCCAATGAGTAAAATCATCATTCATGGAACCTTAAGTATGATAGAATGCCAAGATCAATATGAAAATGAAATGATATTTCATAACATACAACAAAGTAAATTTTTTTTAATTTTTAGATTTATTTACTTTTATTTAAATTCTTTAAATACGTGTTTAGTTTTTGTTTATATTCTATATTATAAGATACTTTAAATATATATGAAATTAATTTTTAAAGTCAGAAATGACTTTAGGTGAATTTCATAAAATTTTGAGAGCTTGTTGAGCCTTTTTGAATTTTTTTGTTATTATTTTATTATTTTAATTATTCTTCATTCAAAAGACTATTAAAAATTCCATTAACATTCAAAATTTTAGAAAATTTATAGGAAAGCTTAAAATATCATTCCAAAATTTTCCGTAAAAATTAGAATTTTTCAGAACTATAACAGTGCAAAAAAAGTGAGAGTTTAGGACCTCAATGCTAATCATTATTGTCGTAATGCTAAAATTTGAGCACTACAGTGTTTAGGGAGCATTACAGTATCAAAATCCCAAAAATTAAAGCCTCAAGGTAGATAGTGTAATGCTGCAACACTATATTTTTAAGCATTTCAAGCCTATCAACTTAGCATAATGACACTAGTTTATAGTTTCATAGTGTTAGAACTTCATGGAATCAGTTTGAAGCAGTTTTGGAACATATTTGAGAGTAAGGTAATTTTTTGAGCAGTTATAGTGTGGGTATAAATGTTGAAGTTAAGAGAGAGTATTGTAGTGACTACAAGAGACTAGGGTGGAAATTACAGAGTGAAGTGTGTGAGAGTGTGTGTAGCCTGTCGGGAAGAAAAAAGCGAGAAAAGAGTCCAAGGAAGAAAATTGTAAAAGGAATGAGGATAAAAGTTAGATTATATCTTCAAGGATCAATTTTTGGCTATCTTTCTAACACCTAGTGTATTTGTTTGTGTTTTGCCACTTTATTTTCTTTTTTTTTTTTTCACAATTATGTTCACAATTATGTTGAAGAATTAGTAATTAGTTTTATTTGTCAAGGTTTATGTTTGTTTCTATGTATTGTGTGTGATTTTTATGAATAAAATGTGCATGGTTGTTTTGTTTCACTTTTATGTTAACTTAGTTTATTTTAAACAAATAATTCTTAATTTATAGTATGAGCGTGTGATTTTTAATAATGCATAGTGGAAAAATTTGGATGAAACATTCAATTACTCTAGTGCATACAAATATAGACATTGGGGAATTGTAATTAGAAAGAGATAGCTTACAAGTTATCACTTGCACTTGTTTAGAATAGGAATATCCTTTTTTGGTGAAATTGTTATTAGGTTTTTTAACTATTGATGAAGATTATGAGATAATTTTGCTCTTGGTTGACAACTTAACAAAAAAAAAACGTTATTGTATACCATTACTTAAATTACTTTAAAATATCATAGAGCAGGAGTTTTTTATAATTGACTTTATTCTTAAAAATCTAAAAATCTTTTATTTGAAGAGCTGGATAAAATTAAGATGAAAAATTATATTAAATTTAATAAAATACATTCTTGATCTTCATGATAATGATACTCAACTCATTAATTTATGACTACATGTATACTTGCTTATATCATAACAACTCATCTAAGATTACTTTAAAAAATAGTATATAAGGCCATGTTCAACTTTTGAAGACATTTTTAAAGTCATTTGAAGGTGCTTTAGGTTTTCATTTAGAATTAATTCTTTTATTAAATTTTTTATTAAGCTTTAGTGAAATTAAATTAAAAGTTTTAAATCCTATTCAATTTAATCAAAATTATCCCAAAAAAATTATAGAAGGTCAGCAGTGAACTAAAGAATATTTGAGAATATTTTGATAAAAATAGAGATTGTTTAATTAGTTAACTAATATTTTATTGAATTTCAATATTTATTTAAATTTCTTAATTTATTTTTACTGAACATAGGATAATTTATTGAGTTAAGAGAGTATTTATTCATAACTTTTGGATAATTATAGAATTAGTTATAAATTTTTATAGGCTGGTGCATTATTTTCTAAGTTTTATTTAAATTCTTATTTATCGATTGCTGATTAGACTGTCACCTCAGCTGGCTTTTTTACTTGTCATGTTCTTATTGATACTGAAATCAGAGTTGTGCGTACCATGGTGTAGGGATTTCAGCTCATTACTATCCCAACCAATTATTTTTTAAAACTAAATTGAATGGTGGTGATTTTGTCTTCCCCATCAGGCCAAGAAATTACAATTCATGTAAAAAATGATTTGATTTGAATAATCAAAGGTTCAATTTGTGAAAATTTATTCTTGTTGAAAGGATCAAGATGATAAGACACTTATCTTCTTATGGGATCATCTTGACCTTGAGTCTTTCTTCCCAAAATACAAAACCCAAAAATGCAATGAGAGGAGGATTGCAAAATAATTTAAGGATTTCCAACAATTGTAGGTTTAAGGAAATTTGCATGGACTTGAGGAGGATTTTTTGTTTGACCTCCAGCACTTGAGGAGGACTAGAAGGATTCTTGATAGTAACCAAACCTAACACAGGATGTTCTCGTTGTCCCTAATGTTTGGATGATTAATCCAATAAGGAGAAGGTGTTAGGTTCCTTATGGGAGGCTAAGGAATAATTTTGTTTAAGTGAAGACCTAGCCTCACTATATTGAGTTTATTTATAGATCCATAGTTGATGTGCTGTTTAGCTAAAATAGTGGCAGAGTTGCAATTCTTATTCTTGGATGGTTTAGAAAGTTAGGATACCAATGAAGTTCCATTAACTGGATTAAGGCCACTTTGGGTTCTGGCATCATATTTTATCTTAAAGCAATCTTATAACAATCTTACCATACTTTGTTATAGCAAGATTTAGACTACATGTATGGAGTTCAACAGATTAGTTGTGCTTGGAATCAATTTAATTTGCTTAGAGGAATTTAG